GATACAGGTGAGTAGAGAAAACCTTAATTGAATTAAAAAACAAATGAAACGGGGACAAAGTATGCACAAAAATAGAGATTTGTTCAGAGACCATTGAAAATGTCCCAGGAAATAAGACCAGGTGTGCTGCGAAGGTATAAAAAAGTTTCTGCTTAGCTAAGTCAAATTAAAGTTAAAGGCACATTGTTAAAATCGCAGTCTTCATCACTTTCGGATTCATGAAAAAGTAGAAATCTACGGTTTTGTGTTAGATGTGACTTAACACGTGAACATCATGTGATATGAATTATTACAATGAAATACAATATTCACAAGGAAACTGAAACAACCAGCTGATATAACTAAGACGATTTGCTACACGCATTGCAAGTTGTAAACATGGTCTATACATTTACATATATCTATATGTCACTATGTATTGTCAGGTGACCTTACTACGGGGTTATCAAACATGACCAGACGGATATCAATCAGTTATCTTTTTATATCTTACTAGACTAGAATCGCCCAGTAGACCGAACCAATGTTTCATGTCAATTCAAAAATTTGAGGGTAGTAAAGGTTATCTCATATGCAGTGTTTGTATTGAGATTTTATATAATACCATGATTTCCTCCATTATATATAAAAAAACTTCTGTTTTATAAGTTTTCCCGTGTGTTATAGCTGTGCTAGTATCACACAAGATCTAATCTCCTGAATTAGGTACGGTTTTTCGTCATTCATATTTTTTCTGGATTGCGGATTTTTTGTGAAATTGTTCTAAAAAGCTTAATAATATAGTGCTTTCGTACAAGTATACTTTTGATTTAGTCTACAGTCACGGATATTTCACTCATTATTTAACTCCAACGTCTGAACTTTTAGCTCAGTCCTTCTGATCTTAAAGGCTAGCTTTATTTTGAATTTTCAAAAAAGGAACTTAAAGTTTTTTGTATATTCGTTTGTAACAGGCAGTAATATATTCATAGCTTAATTTGAGTTTCTACAATGAATGACAACCGTATTTCTGACGTATTCTAAATGGGATATAGTTTACGAAATGCAATCTTTATGTGAAATACATATGTATCTTGGACATCAACGAATTTCGTGGTCATATACGTGTTACAGTTATTGGTTTTCCAATCGTAACTCAAGACCCTGGGTGGATTCTCTAGGCATTTTATTGCATGTAGGAAGATAACAAGAAGAACCCCTACAAACGTGGTGCAGAGGTTCCCAATTCATGTTAAATGCGGAACAGAATGTATGTGCGGGCGTGGTCCGTGTATACATGTACACTTGTAATGAATATATCTCTGTGTGACCGGCAGTCTGTGCGTCTCGGGTGAAAGTGCCCGGGTATCGAAACCGATAGAACAGGTCTTGTCTGAGGTCACAACCTACACCAGTCATTGGTCACTCTTCAGTCAGGTGTCAAAACATGCATACTTAATTGACATGACGTAATACACAACACTAAAATATATGATACATCCATATATACGTACACTGTACATTAGTTTAAACTTTATTTCTTTCTTATTACATAACATATTACAGAGTACTTAGGTATACAAAAGAAAAGGATTCAGAAACAAGTGATGAACACTTATATAAATCTGTCTCCTTGATGTGATTCTACTTAACAGCACTGTAAGCATTTATTAATGTTTAAAGAAATAACGTCATATGGATATCGAAAAACAAGAGAAATCATGTTATCAGTTCAGAGTAGAGGGGTAGAGAGAGTAGGAGATCAAGGAAAGGAGTTAGTAAGTAGACGTATGTCGGATGGATATTCAACCAGCTGGTGACGCGCCGATACTGATACTATATGTATATAAATATTTAATTATCATACAAAAATAATGTAACAATCATTCAAATCTTTTAGTGCGTAAAATGTAATTTTGAACACTTTGAAATACTATTTCGTTGGTATTTCTCGGTAAGTTAGTGTTTCCATAAACTAAAGTATCCAAGGTTATTTGTAAAGGTAAAGTAGCAAAACAGTCTTGTCTAATGTTACTATATTTGGTACAATATAAAGGATAATGTTCGACGGTTTCATTTGATAACCTACAACTACACAACGGAGATTCAACAATTTTTTTCTTAAATAAATGGTCATTTAGGGAACTACATTCCATACGCAATCTAGCATGGTAGATTTGTCCAAGTCTAGTTCCAGCAAAATAATATGTTGGCACTGAAGTAGCATTGGCACTTAAATACAATTTTAATTTTGAAAGAGAGGGAATATTTTTAATAGCAGCAGGGAGATCATTCCAAAGGTGGATTGTTGAAGGTAAGAAGGACTTTTTATATGTATTTGTTCTGCAGCGAATTGGAAGAAAGTTATTGGCTTCTCTAGTATTGTGACCGTGTATATTGGAGTGTCTCTGAGGAAGTATATCTTGTAAATATGGCGGTGTTTTGCTATGGACCATTTTATGGAGCTGGATAATTTTATGATAGTTTCTTCTAGTTTTAAGTGGATCCCATCCTGTCTCATTGTAAAGTTTTAAAATGCTGGTAAGTTTGGTTGCACCCGTCACAATGCGTGCTGCTTCTAATTGGATGTTTTCAATGACTTGTTCTTGGGCAATAGACATATTGTCCCAAATAACGTCTCCGTATTCCAAGATTGGACGGATGAAAGAAAAATACATTTGTTGGAGGGATGAACGATCAATTTTAAATTTAAAGGCACGCAATAGATTAAGTTTTCGTCTTCAGTCAGGTGTCAAAACATGCATACTTAATTGACATGACGTAATACACAACACTAAAATATATGATACATCCATACTGTATATTAAGGTGGCTTGACCCCTAAAATATAAACTGAATATACATTTAAACATTAATAAGCCCCCCTTTACATATTATATAGTATATATGATAAGCTATTAGAATCTAGGTAATAGTATATACAGATTATCAACTTATACATAAAATGTAGCTTATGAGGCCTTTATGCGCATTTCATTCTCGCTATCATAAACTTAGCTTATGTATATGCTTTTTACTTCCCCCACGCCCCCAGAGTGCAACGATAAAACTAAAAACTTATGCAGTTCCGTACTACAAGTACATCAATTATCAATAAATTTCAAAGAAATCTGTTTTCACGTTAATATACATGAATAAACAGAATAAAGGACGTAATGTTAATAATTTTAATACATTGCAGCACATACTTCAAATATTTTATGTAGGTGTCTTCGAAGTTAATATAGTTTATATTTAACAATTAAATATGCATTGACAATATATGACCACGTGTATCAAGAATCTTACATGTAAATAATACACATGATAATTACTCTTCATTAATCCCGAATGCCAGTAACCCAGATCAGCTGATCTCACTTTCGGTTAATCCCCGTTAGAGTAATCTCCCCCTGATCGATCACGTGACTTATATACTCCCGAACAAAAACAAAACACATCAGGATCGTCACAACAACATAATGAATATAGCAGACCATATCTACGTCTGATAAATTCGTGAGTATACAATATTTACTAGTTTTATTGTGTTCTCTTTCGGAGTTTCTCAGTCAGTTAAACTTTGCAGGTACATATCCGAACAGGGGACGTGAAATTCATGTGTTATTTTTTGATATAGGCTACATACCAACACATACGTTAGAACATCCGCTTTGCTAAACTGATAAGAACGGGTGTATAGGACTAATGTTTCATTTAACCCTCGACCAGAGGGAAGAAATAGTTTTTCCTGCTTAATGTGAGTTAAATTGGCGTTGAGACTTCGATCGTCGATCAGACGACGTTTTCAGCAGAGCTAGAGGAGGCTGGTGTTTTGACAGTCGTGATTTTTTGTCTTGCCATCAAGGACATGGACATTTTATTGAATATGAAGTGCCTTCATGTTAACATTTAAACATCCCGGACATTTCGAGGACGTAAAATCATTACAATCACAGATCCACAGATAATTCTACTGACTTGCAGACAGAATCGCATTTCAACCTCAGATTTATGGAATTATGGCGAGATAGGAACAAAAGAAAGATTTACGCAGTGACACTTGAAAAGGTATAAGTAGAAAAACACCATTTGTAACGGTTCTGTAAGGGTAAATCATGATCAGCTTCGGCATCAGTGACACAGTGGTGTAAATCGTGGTCAGTCAAATGAAGCAATGTCTTGTACACGAAAGAGAACCAGACAAACTATAACAGAATCACAAAGTTTACTTATCGTCATCAAACATGACAAAGTTTTGAAATGAATAAGTCAGATTTAAACGTTAAAATCAGAAGAAAAAACAAGCAGATAATCACTTTTACCTCCTGTACTTCTTAAATGTCAATGACTAATTTTAATTTTTAGAGCAGCCATGTCCATGATATTACATTTGTGCTTTGTAAGGGAATGCACATGTAGACACAATGCACTCTCTCATCTTACATTTTATTTTAATTGACAAGCTCATGTATATGATAAATGATAATTGAAAATGAAAAACAAAGATCAAAATCTCATCAAAACGGTATGAAAAACATAATTTAAAGTGATATGATACACCTTAAAATGGAAAAAAACATAGAATAGAAGTTCTTATAACACAAACAGTAGAAGATTAGAGTGTGACTGTGTAATCATTGAAATGTCACACTCTTATCTTGTGGCTATTCTATTGTCACTACCAATGTGAAGAAAATGTTATTAAATAAAGTGAAACATGTTATAACAGAAATATGATTAATGCAAATGCTATACATAATGAATACATTTGCATTGTCTGAAAATAGCACACAGTTTAGAAATGCCCTTTAATTCCTATTTGCCACGAAAAGCTACCTAGCTTTATTTCTTCATGTACCCTGCCTTTTTAGAATCTTAGCTGAAACACTGAATATATTATCATAGTTTTGTCTTGTCAGTATATATACATACACTTAGCTAGATATTGATCTAAATATGAGTGAAGATATTCAACTTTTTACCACATTGTCTTGTAACGTTACAGCTGAAGTACCAGGATGTCGTGCCTGCTGACATCCTGTGGGGACACTGTCCAGTACAACCAGCTTCCACTGGATGACTATTGTGACGATTCCACAGAACCAGTACCAAGGGAGACAACTGTTGTAACTGGTCAACTCAGCTGTATTCAGAAATTAAAATGTAATCTATCTTGTGAAGACAGCTGTTGTAATAAGAAAGTAGGAAAGAATCGTGAAGCATCTGTTATAGGATTGCTGGTGTCAGTAGGACTGTTGATTATAACTCCAGCTGTATGTGCGGCCTTGTTTTATTACAGTATGTTTGTACTTCAGCCTACGCCAGTTATAGACAAATCCATCCATGCCTTCACAATCCCAAACCATCCTGCCTCCATTAACTATGATGCATTTCAAAGTGCAGCACAACAAAACAGTAGCAAGCATTCCATTCACTTTAACAGCTGTAGTAGTCTTTTTTTCCAGAAGCACAAGAGATCTCCCAGGTCATTTAGCAATGGTGGAGAAAGTGACTTGGTACAATCTAACAAACCTTTGTGGAATCATAAATCATCAAGAGATGGAACCCATGATCTTATTCCTGGTGTATCAAAACGTTCAGCGTCTGATTCATTTAGCATCATGGCGCATCAATACCATGCACAGTGGAAGATGCAGGTTGTTTTTATGGCTAAAGGTGAGGAGGACGACAACATATTTACAAAGGAAAGACTGGAGATGATACATGATATTGAACAAAAGATCATAAAGCATCCAAATTTTTACAACTTCTGTTTTAAAGACTATTTTATAGCTCGTATGGATCCTGCTGTCCGCGCCCAGAACTCATGCGCACCGCTAAATTCTCTTATGTCTTTCTTTTACCCTTCGTTGGATGATCACAACAGGCCTTTGTTTGACGGTCTTGGTGAGACACTTATTAGAAACATCAGTGAAGGCTTACGATGGGCATTCACATCAGATAAGTCCTATTACTTTGTTGATCCCCATGTTAACAAAACTTTTCACAAGAGTCGCTTTTTGAGGACGGAAGTGAAGTTTGGAACACCTCTACAGGGATATAGGTCACCATATTTTGAAATCAAGCAGCAATCAGAAAAATTCAAAGCATTTGTGGTGACATACATCGATCTTCTGTCCAAGTTATCAAATGAGTAAGTATGTTCATTTTATAGTTTTGCTGTGATGACTCTCTCTTAAGATGACTAATACATTTACACACATAAATTTCACAAATTTTCACAGAGCACATTATTGTTGTTTTACAAAATATGCATTTTTATTGACACTTGATTTCATTGATAAATCTTGCAAAGCCAATATTACTATTACATGTGAAGTTATTTTTTTGTGGATTAATGAATTTGTGGATAAAAGGTAACCACAAAAATAATGACCCTACAAGAAATAAAAGTTTTTCAGTAAATCTATTGAATTTGTTTACAGACTGCAGTTGTTGGTAGCTGAAATCAATGGTTCTCAATTAAACATCTTATCATGTCAATGTATATGACTATGCATATATATCTATAAAATTATTATCATATCTTTAAAAATTACATTTGTCAGGTGATAAGTCTGTCTATTGATAAGCCCACCCTCATGTATAATTTTTTTTCCATATAGAAATAACAACAGATCTTATTTCTTTATCTTATTTCTTTGTCTTGGTACTTTGAGGCAGAGTTAATGTAACAACCTGTTATTCATTATACATACATATTTTTGGATAGGGACGTAAGATACATTTACAATTAATAATCTGTATTTACATATCACTGTAAAAATTCGTTGAGAGACATTATAAATGATCAAAATTTTCCTTTTTGTTAGTAAATTGCAGGTGCTCTATGGGGGAACAGAGATATTTGACTACCAGGTAGACAGCACTTTTTGGAAGGATGTCAAGATGGCATACATTACGATGATTTGTATATGTATCATTATGCTGTTGTTGACTTTCTCTGTGTGGCTCACCTTCTGGGGCGTGACCAGTATTGTCCTGTGTTTTCCTCTCGCACTGTTCCTCTACCGGTTCGTGTTCAGGATATCAGCCCTGGGTATCCTGAATGGAGTGGCTGCCTTTGTCATCATAGGAATCGGTAAGTATAATTATAGTTAAAGTTAAAGTTCACAAATAATTTTTCTTCGGTTTTTAATCTATTGAGAGTGAATGAGCTAATAAAAATTTCAATATTTAGAACGTATTGTGCCTTAATTTATATGTTTATTTAACTTTATATGCTATTTGCCTGGTAAAAGGCCACTCAAGCATTCAACAGTTGAACTGTATATTGTAACCTTTGCTAGTTTATGTAACACTTCAACAATTTGTACCAAAATCTGAGGTAATTTCTGTTTCAGGAGTGGACGATGTATTTGTATTCGTGAACATTTTCCGTCAGTCGAGTGGACAAAAGAGTGTCTCAAAGAGAATCCGTCATACAATGATAACTGCTGGCAAAGCTACCTTTTTCACATCATTTACCACAACTGCTGCATTTGCTGCTAATGTGTTCTCCTCAGTAAGTTGTTCCTAGTGTTGAAAACACTAGCAGTCTTTTATTGACTTTCTTTGTTGTGGAGCCTTTGTGTCACTATTTCAATATTGACTCATAGAATCAGACTTTTGATTCAGCTGTTGCTTATTGGAGGAGGGACATGTAATTTACTACAATGGTGTAAACCAAGGTAATTTTCCACAGGTACACTGTTTTCTTTTCCAGGCCAACAAGAGTGACTTCAAGCAATATTTTGTATAGTGTCTGTGTATATTATGTGTACAGTTTGATGGTTCTAATCACATGATCACACCAGTAAGGTGTTTTATTTCTGATTACATTGTCACACCATATTTTGTTTGTATATAATGGCTATTGTTGATGTTAATATTGTACACTATCAGTGATTTATCTACATTTTAAAATATAGAGACATTTACTACTAAAAAGACAAGCAACTAACAAGACATGCCCTATATATTGCATGTTGAAACGTTTTAATGAGACAATTCAGAAAAGTATGTGTCATTTGTTTAGTGACTAGTAGGAATATTAACCTGTGCACTACTTTTGGTTTTGACAGATTCCTGCTGTGCACCAGTTTGGCCTGTTTATGTCACTCATCGTGGCCTGCTGCTGGTTTACTGTTATGCTGATCATGCCAGCTGCGCTCTATATCTGGGCCTTATCTATCTACAAATGTGAAGAAGCTGTAGCTAGACTGTGAGTCACCAGATAGGATTTTCATTTTGTAGCTGGTCATGTCAGAGTTGTTTCCCTTTAAATGGTTGCTGCTGACAATACATGTTTTCATGACTATCTGACATGAAATGATTAAAGTTCCAAACAGATATTAAAGAAAAGCAAACAAACGAGAAAATATGCAGCTTTTACAAAGAAGAAAATGAATAGAAGAAAATAAAAAAGGAAATTTAACTTTGCTGTTGGTTTGATGTAATAGTTTTTATCCCAGAACAAGATTAATCCAAGTACCTCACACAGAATTTATGTGATAATATGCATCAAAGCATTAGGCAGGAAACCGGGCCATTGATAGAAATAATTTGTTTTTAAAAAATCCTAGGACCAATAGATGCTTTAATGGAACACCCCTTAGACAATTCTTATCAAGGATCAAAATATGAATAGTTAACATGTTTAGGTAGAAGTCCGGAAGGATTACTTTGTTAATGTATCATAGGATATTACTTGTCTTATGGTTACAGTATATCTCGCCTACTCGGTCGGTCCAAGAGTACATTGTCCGCCAAGCTGTGCCTTCCTGCTGATATAGCACACTTTGTCCAGGGACGTGTCCCTGACAACCTATCTGCACTCACTCAGATCTTTGATCAAGACAGTCCTGTGGAAGGGTCAGACTCTCCAGATGAGGATGATGTCCCTATGCTGATGATGGAAGACCCTATGCAAGAATATTTTGGTAGGAACTGATTCATTTACTATAAAATCATTTATTTTCGTGGTAGTTTTCTTTTTCATTGATTTCGTGGGCACTGTAATACATGAATTAATTTGTCCATGACCTGTTAAAATCAGTTTCAGTAGACTGATTTAGGTACAATTATCCAGGAGTCAAGTGACTAATAAATAGTAATTTATTTTTTAGAAAAACCTCAAAAATTGAGGCTAATGAAAATATATGATTCTACAGTATATCCTACTACTTTATGATGATTTATCAAAGTGTTACTGTTCCCTTCTGACCACGTTAAATACACCAGAATATCATATAAATTGTCATTACCCTACAGACCTCATTTGCTTTAAGAAAATTTTTTGCAAATTTGATAAGCTATGAAGGTCAAGTATAAGAATACTTTGGATGAATATATGTTTTGATTTTTCAAAGTCTAGGTCACTTACTATTTATAGTAAATCATAACTAATTTTTTAGGAGGGGTGGACATTCATGCGTTACAGATATTTTTCAGGGAAACGTCATATTTTGATTTGCTTTGTATCATTTTACTCTGCTGTTCTTTACTTGTTAGTAGTAATGATTAACTACCAGGTTGTGCCTGACTTTTCCAGATGCTGTTGATAATGATGAAACTCTGCTGGACTTGGCATTAGAACAAGAGAAAGAAGATCTACTTTTCAGCAAGATGTTACAAGGCTTTATGTTTCACTGCATAGCGCGCCCAATGACTCATATACGCTGGGTCGTTTTAGGTAGGCAGGGCTTTGTTTTTCTTTACTAATCTGATTTTGATGATAGAAAATGAGTCCTGATAATGCAGCCAGTAGAAGATTTAAGTGTGATATTTTCCTTGACAACAATATGAGGTTCATCAGACAAATGGCTGCCACGAAGCCCATTAACATTGACGTATGGAGTGTACAAGATGGTACAAAACTGACACTATTTTTTGTCAATACTATAATCTTATGTATACTAAGGTGGAAAATAGTGTGACTAGATGGAAAAAAGATAATAAGAAAACATACAGAAGATGAAAACAATGTACTGTAGTCGATTAAGCTATCCAGATGGCTTCCTCAGTCAGATGCCTGAAAAGCTTGTTTTCCTCGCGACAATTTTTGAATTTTTCCAGTCAGTGATATGATATTCCTGTGTGGAATGATCTTTAACTGCCAAATTATTGATCTTATACACTCCATATTTTGGTACTAATATGCTTCTTGCTGAAAGTGACAGTGTTATTGAAATTTCACACTCAGTTATTCTACTCGTATTTCTGTTTTATTGACTAACCAGAAGAAAATGTTCTGTAATAAGTTTTGATTCACTCATACTTCTGTATATATAGCACCCACACAATATACAACTTTCATTGTTTATTTTCTATTGTGTTTGCAGTCTCGAAATATATATCATATAACATGTATGTTATATTAGCTTTACAGAGTATGTTATCTTTGTGTAGACACCAATTTTTGTTATTTTTACAATGATTAGATGTAACAAATTAGACTTCAGATGAAACAATAATGTGTAACAGTAATGTGGTATAAAGTTAATGTAATGTCCTACTGACCTGTGTTATAGTCCTGTCCTTGGTGATTCTCGGTGTATCTGTTGGCCTGATGATCCAACTTACTCCTGCCACACGACCTCCACAGCTTTTCCGAGCCGACACTAATCTACAGATGTTACTGGACCTGAAGAGTAACCTAAGTGTGGACACGATTTCCTGTCCCCGCTGTTCAGCTATATACAGTGTAAGTACACTGGCACAGGTATTGTTGATGAAGCAGAAAACGCTTAACCCTCCCAAACACCTCTCACTTTTATACTATAAGTTTTAGCTTGGACGAAGATTTTGTTAATATGTCAGCATTTTTATTGTTGTGTCTGTTTCACTGTGATTATTAATATTTGCTCTGTGTTATACTTGATTTTTAGTTTTCATTCTTATGCCATTTTACTAGGGGTTTAAAATACTACCTATGTTCATCTGTGGAGTCAAGCTCGCAACAGATTTGGTTCATAGTTAACCAATAGTGTCATAACATTGAATATTGAAGGTTGAATTAACATAACTTGTGGGTAAATGGTATTGAAACTTAGAGCTGGTGTGTAGGTATGAGCATCATCTCTGGTGTATTTTATGGTAGGCCTCTTTACAAAAGGGTAGACAATTATACAGATATTGTTAAGTTGAAGACCATGTACTAGTTGTCCTCTATCAATTTAATTTTGCATTATATATGAAATGTCATGGATAATTTATGATTAATGTAATCACTTTTCCTGAAACCTTTTATCTATATCTACCTCAATCTATATTTTACAGATGAATCCTGCTTATAACCATGAGCACCCAGCCTATCATCCTTCTTTGTCCCACCCTGCGGTAACATCCCCCACCAGACATGTTACAAAGTCACCTCTACAGCACGTAACTAAGGGATCCTTGACTAAACTTACTACGACTAAAGTGCCCACAACTAAAAGTAGGTTGCTCTGTATGTTAAATCTCTGTTTAAATTATAATTCACTCATTTTTTTTTCAGAAAATGCCATTAACAGTCTGTAGTTTACTGCCTTGCTACAGGGACATATAATATAGTATCTGTATTTTATGTCCCTGCTTGCTGGGACGCTTTAAAACACTTTGTCATGATCTTGAGCAATGTTGACTCTGATAGATCAAACTCTAATTTATATTCATAAGCATAATTTTGTATATCAACTGTGAATGGGTTCAGCATATTGTTTAATTTTGTTGAGACTGACCAAAGGATTATTGTACATAACATTCAACTTAAGTTAACAGAAATCACCTGTTGTGTAAATGCAATAGGCTGATTAACACTGTGATATATTAAATAACATTATTTTAATAATACATCATATACTTGGTACACTCATTAAACTCTATTATGGAAGATTCTTTTTTAATGTCACAAGTTATGCAGTATACTGAATCTTTATATTGATTAACAGCCTTTAATTGATTTTCCGTGGTCCATTTCATATTTATCAACTGATAAATCATTATATAGGAATAAGACATCCCACGTCTATTTCAGTTTCTCATGACTTTGCATTAAATGATGCATAAGTATCCTATAATATGACTAACACGACCCTAAGTAAAATTTGGGTGTTGGCCCCACCTGGTTATTGTTAGATATAAATGGATACTCAAGCCACCGTCATTTAATTGGTTGGGAAAGACATGAGGTGTTACCGATTTGTCCATCTGTTCTGTGTATCATTTGTATCATTTCTCCCCGCATTCCATTCCCAATCAGTCTCATATCTTCACAGCCTCTCAACAGATTTGTTTCATATTCACCCCATAGCATCATAATATCAAGTTCTACAACTGATCAGTGATCAGATGCTGGTTTGCAACGAGTGCATTCATGTCTTAAAGGTATATTTTTGTTACCATATGATCAGTTTTCCAGTTGTTCTCATCTATACTAACATCCTTGTTAGGTCAATCTAGAAGTAGTAATGGTTTCCCATTACAGGCCAAGAAACCCAGCCTCCAAAAGTGAAGACTATGAAACCTACCCTTAAAACTAAAACTTCAATGAAAACACCCACTGGAACGTCAAAACCCATCACGCCAAAACCTCCAGTACATCCTACAAACACTGCTTTACACTGGACTCCTGGCTCCTCCCGACCAAGTACGACCACTAAGGGTCAGGGGTCAAAAGGTGTCAGTGTCTGCCAGGGTCACGACTGCTCCAATGCTAAGGACCGTCCCATGCTAGAAAGTGGTGCAGTGGTGCATGTCGTGTTTGGAATTAAAGGCATCGACAAAAGTAAAATCTCTGTCAGCCATGTACTCGATCAATCTCAGGTTCGTCTTTTATTTGCTTGCAGATATGTTATTTTGAAGAAATGAAGAAATTAAATTTAATATTAAATGACAATGTTTATGAGTTGAGACTATATATGTTTATGTTATAAATATAAAAGGTTTATAGTCAAAAGTACCTTGGTATAGAGAAAACATTCACTAAAATACAAAGTCAGTGTTTTATATTTGTTTCAGGGAACAGTAGAATTTGACTCTAAATTCAGCAAGTTCTTCTCATTTAAACATGACCTTATTAATGTGTTGGATGGTATAAAGACTCTCTGTCGGATCTGTCGTCGCATCGCCAACGAAAGTAGTCTCGTTCGTAAAGGAAGTGCTCAATGTTTCCCAGCTAAAAGTAAGTACAGGTAGCTGTGATCAATGGCATTTGAATACTAACCTGTACCATTTTATGTACAAAATGAAAACTTATCAATACACTATACAAGCATATTGATGTGTTTTAGTCCGTAGATTTCAACAGTATTGTTGTGTCTTTGCATTAAAATTGTTGAAAAATATGTTATATCATTCATTGTGTACCAAACAAATACAATAAGAAGTGACACTAGATAATTTGTGAACATTTAACTGTCATCTACATGTACATGTTGTATAAATATTTCCTTTTCTCCCTTAAAAAAAGCGTTGGTTAGTCTGGAATTTTGAAAACAGAACACTTAGGGAATACTACTCATTTCCGTTAGTAAAATTTGTCAAGATTAATCCTTTAATCTTTTCACAAATAAGTCTTAAAACCGCTATAAATTAAGGATTAATATGATGAATCTTAACACTACCAGAAACAAATATTGATTCTGTTTGTGCATTATGTGTGTTTAGTGGCATGCCTGGATGAGATCCCCGAGTGTCGAGATCTTCAGCAGACCCAGTCAGTATATGGTCGTCAGGCCCCCGCTCACTATGCTGGGGGTCTCGCAGCCAATAATTCAGGTCTCTTGTGGTGGGCCTTTGCCTTCGAATCGGTAAGTAAAATCTTTCTCTTCAAAGCTACAGAATTTGAATTTATTAAGTTAAACTGAATTCAGTCAACAGTAATGCTGAATTCAAATTATTCAGCGAGAAATCGGGATATGTTAATTAAATTATTTTTTCCTGATTAAATGTTGTATCACATACCTTTAATTGCAGACAACTCCAAAAGGAATTTCATACTTTGAAGCATACAAGCAGTATCTGAAGTGGGAGGCCCTGATAGAGAACATCAAATCCACCGAACATAAATATATAGAGGTTCTTGATTCCATGTTTCAGACGTCACAGTTCTGGACTAAGGTTAGTATACACACTGTCACTGTAGAAATTAACTTTATTCAATTTCAAAAGCACTTTTCTTTAAGTTTTTTTAATTACCAAGACTATTTGTTGGCAATTTATGGTTTGTTATAGATATAGAATTTCAGGTGTGATTATAATTACATATTATGAAAAGTTTTTTTTCTATTAAATCTTATATGACTATTGTCATGTTTCAGGTACTGATGGAAGTAGTGGCAGTGAACAGCGCCATCTATGGGCTTGTTCTCTCTATGGTTGTGTGTATGGTTGCTGTGGCACTATTTACGGGTCATGTGTTACTACTGTTTATTGTCTTCATATGCATATTGGGTGAGTAAATACCTTACATTAATATGCATGTTATAAGGTCAGTGGGTTGGACAGATAATGGGATGTAGTCTGGTCTTTTTGCCGAACAATTTACCCAAAGGGCCAATTGAGCTATATGGATATCGCGACATCTGTCCATCTGTCCATCCATTTGTCTGTGAACTTTTGCTATGGATCGCTGACAGAGTCAAATGATAGATTTAACATATATTTCTAGGAATGAAATCAAATTGACGCATGGAATGAAATTTCCGAACTTTCATTCACAAATCACAACTGCTCATTATTTTAAGAGCATGCCTACTCACAGAGAAACAAATGTAGAACTCGTACTACATGTAACATGTCCTTGAGTAAGGATGATCATCCTCCATGTTGTATAACATTAGCCTTTAATCACTAGATGTCTGGACCTTATAATAATAATAATAATAATATACAACATTTATATAGCGCACTATCTATTTTGACAAAATACTCTAATGCGCTTCACAATTACATAATAATCTTACTACAAAATTTACAGAACATGTATAACACAGTAATCAACATATGTAACACAGTAACCAAATCAAGTAAGTAGTGGTGAAAGTATGTATATACAGGACGTCTGCGTGAGAGTCTAAAATGCAGACGTAAACAGGTGGGTTTTAATATCCTCTTGAATTTGGCCAGGGATTTTGACTTTCTAGTAGCAGATGGTAAGCTGTTCCACAAAGTGGCCGCTACTTTTCCAAAGCATCGGTTACCATAAGTCACAGTCCGAGAGTTCGGAACGCACAACAAGGATTCTGTCTCCGATCGTAATGATCGTGACGGCCGATAAACGGTGACAAGTTCCTGCAAATATTCAGGAGCTGTTCCATTTATTGCCTTGTATGTATACATCAAAATCTTGTACTGTGACCGGAATCACACGGGCAGCCAATGCAATAAGTAAAGGACTGGTGTAATGTGGTCCCTCTTTCGAGTACGGGTAACTAGGCGTGCTGCGGTGTTCTGTACCCTCTGCAGACGGCTCATTAGTGTATCAGATACACCAACGAGTAACGCGTTACCATAGTCTAACCTAGAAGTAACAAGAGAATGTACCAATGTCTTGCATGCATCTGTGGTGATGAACTGATGGATACCCCCAATGTTTCTGATTTGGTGATAACAGGAACTGGCAATTGAGTTTATCTGTTTCTCCATGTTCAGAGAGCTATCAAAGTGTACACCAAGGTTTCTCACAGCTTGGACGGCCTCAATAGTTTGGGCACTGACCTTTAACTGGAGACCTTTAGTGCGTTGACACTTGTGGGAAAAGACGATCAGTTCTGTCTTTTCCTGATTGAGCTTGAGCATATTTGTGTTCATCCAAGCACTGATGTCATTTAGACAGGCTTCAAGACTTGCTACTATTATGTCCCTTATCATAATGATTTATGAGTACAGTCAAACCTGTCTAAAGGACACCTGTAACTACCTGTCTATAAACGCCTTTAGTGTTGAATCTCAGTATAGTACAACTCTTAGTAATTGAACCTCTACATAAAGGCCCCCTGCACGTAATGACAATTTTTTTTGTCCCTAGCATTTTGGTTGTTTTTATACACAGGTTTGACTGTACCTTTTTGACTATATCCTTTAAAATACAGAGATGATTTGAATATTGATTAATTGATTGGAAAGTACATTCCCTTCTTTGCAGAGATGATTTATATAGTGACTAATTGATTAAAAGTACATTCCCGTCTTTGCAGAGATGATTTATATAGTGACTAATTGATTAAAAGTACATTCCCTTCTTTGCAGAGATGTTTTATATAGTGACTGATTGATTAAAAGTACATTCCCTTCTTTACAGAGATAATTTGTATAGTGACTAATTGATTAAAAGTACATTCCCTTCTTTATAGAGATGATTTGCCTGGTGGTGGGGATATTTTACCTGGCTGGATGGGAGATGGGTGGAGTTGAAGCCATCTCATTGTCAATACTGGTCGGTTCTTCTGTTGACTATTGTGTACATCTGGTGGAAGGATACCTACTGGCAGGCAAGGCACTCCCCCAGGACCACAAACAGGTCAGAAGTTTAATATTATATATATTTGTATTTAGTCATTTACATATTTATACTAGATCCCTTTCAAGTTTGTAGTTGAAACGATTGGACTGGCTGAATGTGCACAAGAAATGCTTTGCCAAGGGCCAGTAGTACAAGTTCACAACTAAGTTTTTAGAATTTCTGCATAAATTAGGGGCGGTGCACATATGTATTTCAGTAAGGGTTAAATGAAATACATTTTATCACTGTTTTTATGTTTGAAAGGAAAAAATGGAAATTGTACATTTTGAGTTTTACATAATATTTTGAACTTCAGATGCAGGTAAATTTGGTTATTGTCTGTTACCGGGTTACTGAAAAGCTGCTCAAGTGATTTGTGTTTGTTAAGTCTACCATATACTGGTCTTGGTATATGTTGTAAAACAAGGAAGTGTATGCGATACTTGTGCATTTTGTAAGTTCTCTTGTACCTTAAGCCAGTAAGTCCCACAATAAAAAACAGCCACAGAGTTTGCTGAGATCTTGTTTGATACAATATATATATTTTTTGCTTTACTACTTCTAATTCACTACTTAACATATTGTGATAACACAGCATCTTCTTTCCATTTTTCTCATCAGTCTGCTTCCTCTGCCCGACGCTGGAGAACAAAGGCAGCTATAACACACATTGGGGTGTCCATCTTGTCAAGTGCACTAACCACTATTGTGGCTGCTGTCCCCTTAACCCAGACGATCATCAAGCCTTTTTCCAAGTTTGGCCAGATAGTAGCCATCAACACCTCTGTGTCCATTGTGTATTCACTAACTGTCTGCTCAGCCTTCCTGGCAACCATTGCCCCTGGTTACTTCAGTCCCACTTGGAAGTCATACTTGAAAGCCCTTGCAGGGACAGTCATCTTCTTAGGTGCGACTGTGCTGTCATTATATACAGCTACAAAAGCTGGGGTGTTTATCCCTGGCCCTAATGGGGAGGCACTTTTCCCAAACTAAGACATTGATGTTGGAAGAGTTCACAACAGGAAAAGGTCTGAAAACATGATGTTGTGATTAGTGCTTGTTTCAGTGTGAATTTCTCGCTTAGAGCATAATGCTGCTTATTTTGTTAAATGTATTTTGTACCGTGTTAGATTCTAAACATGGTTTCTAGGTAAGGCTCGCAATATAATGCATATCATTTCACACCAAAGCAATATTTTCTTATCTGATTCGATTTGTAGTGAAATGTTTTTTAACTTTACAACAAATTTGATTGGTTGAATTTCATGGTTACAGACTTTTAAAGAGTACACTCAAATGAACAATTTTTGCTAGAGTTTGCTATTCTTATGCCTTATTTTAAACATATTCAGTCCTAAAGTGGAAAGTAAATTTTAAAGGTGGTAGGTTATTTTCTTAAATCTAAATGTGATTGTTTTAATAGTTTTCAAATGTCTGATATCAGATATTTTTACCACAATTATATTTTGAAATGTCCACTGTCCCAAGGGTTTTAATAGTTTTCAAATATCTAATATCGGATATTTTTTACCACTGTTGATAATATTTTTAATTGTCCGCTGTCCTAGGGGTTTTGATAATTTTCAAACGTCTGATATCAGATATTTTGTACCACCAGAATTAATCATATTTTTAATTGTCCACTTTCCTGAGGATTTTAATCGTTATCAGATAATTGTGTACTACAATTAATTATTTCAAATTGTCCACTGTCCCGAGAGTTTTCTCATTTTATGATGTTTTAGTTAGATGATGAAGTGTTAAAATCTCAATGTAATCTCACTTTTGATATACGTGGGACTGTTGGCTACGGTGAGAGGGGAGACAATCCATACACTAAGGTCTGTCTTTGTCAATGTCCATGTCATCACCATTGTAATGCATTTTGCATTGTGGTATTTCCATATTTTTTCTGGTGGAAAAAATTATTTTAATGACCATCTTGATTTTTTTTCTTAATGTAATATTTTGTCCCTTTTGTACACTGTTTATCAGTGTTGCCATTGCTACTATTAAGTGTATTTAAAATGTATTCTTTCATGATACATATAGTATCAATTAGCATTTTGTAAGAGTTGATTTAGATCTACATACTAAATACATGTGATATAGAACAATAGATATCTGGAACAAAAGTTGATACTAACATTCATGTCAAACTCAGTCATATTTGTTTTGGCAGGAGTGTCAAATTTTCCTCTTGGGATTTTGGGAAGTCTACTGCATGCTTGGGAAGTTGAAACTGTATTTTTTTTCATCCGTTTAAAATACTAAAAGCTTCCGTTATCTTAATACCAAATAGCATATACTTTTATATATGTAAATAAAGCAAAGCAGAAAAATTATTTCAAGAGTTGAAAACATTGTGGTTTTTACTGAGGAAAGGACAGAGAGAGAAGTGGTTTTTACTGTTTTTAGAGACAGTTGTAGGTAAGAAAAGACAGAGGAAAGGAATGAAAGAGAAGGTGCCTAAACAATATTAAAAATTCATTTTTTATCATAATCATAATATGATAAAAAATTTTCATATACACATGCATAAAATATGAAAATTATTTTATGTCATCTAAACCAAGTCTGAAGGATTCTTTATTGAAAGCAAATGGAATCAATAACACTTCAAACAGACACTCGAAATTTGATAGGTAAGTCAGTCAATAGTTAATTATTAGTTAACCAGTTGTACACCAGTTAGTTATTAGTTAACCTGTTGTACACCAGTTAATTATTAGTTAACCTGTTGTACACTAGTTAATAATTAGTTAACCTGTTGTACACCAGTTAATTATTAGTTAACCAATTGTACACCAGTTAATGATTAGTTATACGTTGTATGCCAGATAATTATTAGTTAACCTTAGTCATCATTAAACAGTTAACCTGTTTTAGTAACACCATCATCATGTTGCAGACCCCTTATCTCTTTAGGAATACTGATTGTTATACTGGTTCCTGATATCAACAGAAGAAATATTTTTCGACTGTGATGAGAGTTTGACTAGGATGATATATTTGAATTCCATCAATTAAATCAACTATTCTTCTGTGATTGTTTCAATTTAAATGATTTTCTAGATGTCTATTTTATAAATAGATATTTTCAACTCTACATTGTACATGATAGTAAAGTATACTAGTTATCTATACTTGTGATGATATACTGTAATACTATACGTTAATATTTCAAATGTTTTTTAATTTGATGTTATCAAAGGCATTCTGTAATTTTCTTTGTGAATATAATTTTGTGTAGGAGTGCAGTTTACTGTGTGATGTTTTATATGTATTATTGCCTTGTAGAATGTATATTGTTATTAATATACAGCTGATTAACAAGATTTGTAAAATTGGTGAACAAATTACATGTCTGCTTGTTGTCGCTTGGTTGTATGTAGTTGTGGTTCTTGGCTTGGCTTACAATATCCTACTTTAAGCTTATTAATATAAATTCTTAGTCAAAGTCTTCACTTGGACAGTACAGAACACTGAAATAGTTGGTCATTTTACCGAACGGCAATATAAATTGGTGGGGGTTACTATCAAACATGGGCTTTTTGTTGAATAAATATGGTACAGCTGTTGGTAAATAGCCAGTAGGTTGCATTTACTGGTGGTTAGTTTGTTGTCATTAATAGTGGTCGCCTGGTTGTATGTGTGTACTTCTGATCACTAAGCAGACTAATACAGAACGCCATTTGATAAAAAAATGAATAAAACATATTTAGAGCATGATTTTATTTTTGCAACGTTTTGTATGCAGTGTTCTTCTTGCTGTATTTTTTCATAGAAATTTAAAAGATTGAGAGAATTTTCAGAAATTATGAGATTTTAAAGGAACAATAATATTAATGTTTTAAAGAAAGGATGAAATTAGAAATGTTCACGGTAGGAAATGCATGCTGAGTGTGATGTTTTTTGTAATACCTAGAGAAGGGTAATGACTTAAGATCTTCTATGAGGTTTTCTTATATAGCTACTTGTACTTTAGATAAATGTTTTATTTTAGGATAACCATAAAAGTCTGAAATTATCAACATAAATTTGACAGACTTGCTTTGAGGATTTGTTACAAGATTTTTGTGTATTTATCTTTTGATGCTAATATTTTAGTTACTACAAAATCTATCTGCTTAATGTTTTTGCTCTATCATCACATTAACTCATAGTTGGAAGTGACATGTTTCTCCGTTTTTACGAGAAAACTGATCCAAAGTTTTGCTTTATGACAATGCTTTCCAGTATGATTTTTTTTGGTTGTTGTTTAACCTGTAATGCTTACATAATTGACTTGATTTTGAATTATGTTACACTTTGTTCCGTAATGGCACATCTGACTTTATTAGTACTAATGACCTGAAAACTATCAAAGTTTTGTTTTCAATCAGTCATTGTCTGGGTATTTTACACATACCAAGGGGAGTATTATAGAATTATGTACTATAATATTCAGTGCAAGGCATAGCATTATGATGTTTTGGATTATGCAAGTAGAAGCAGTTATCAGCATTTCAACCCCAAAAGGTATGTGCACAAATCGGGTTTTTTATGATAATATATTGATATAGTTTCTTGCATTGAAGTTTGAAATATATCAATATGGTCTCTTGCATTGAAGTTTGAAATAGTCAGGCTTACTTTTATTTTAAAGATTAGTGATAAATATTGTCAGAAGTATGACTTGGTATTTTCCTTGCTGTAAAAATCACCTGACTCTATATAGTGTTGTGATGGAGTATCTTAAGGGTCTCTGTTGGTAGATTCGTAATGTAACTGACACTGGACATCAGTTTGTATGTGTTAATGAGATACTTTGTACATTCCAGGAATTTGTGGGAAGTTCTTTCTTGTAAATCATATTATCCTGATGGATGGTTTTAAAGAAAATTCATTAAAATTTTACTTTATTGTGTTTTTGAAAACAAGTTGGAAAATAAGTTACTGATAATGTTTTATATGTGATATTGTTTTATCAGCTGAAAATTATGATAATTTCTTCGTTTCTTTATGTTTGTAAGATTCTTTAGTGATATTTTTGATTTACATCATATTAATATTGCAGTAGACTGAGTGATCAGAATTCCATTGTATAATCCCTTTGTAGAAGTGATACTGACAGTATTAATTTTACTGATAGTAGTCATCAATCAAGTTTACTCTTGTTATCCATGTCGATCTAATTTTACACTCCGTACATTTACTTGTTGGACAATTTAAGTTTTTTATCAATAAGGAAGTATGACTTATTGATACTTTGTGCATAATTTTGATACAATTATTTACTGTGCTTGTATAAATTCCACAGGAGATCACTTTTCATGCAGTGCAATTTTATTGTAGAAGATAGTTTGTGTTTGACTTGCCATCATTCAGTGCAATGTTAAATGTGAAGACCAAGAGAACTTAGTGACAGGGGTTCGATATTTGTTTGGTTGAGAGGTTAGACCAAGATAAGGTGCCACACCATGTGTCTGAGAATGGTGTAGCTGAGAGGTTAGACCAAGTGGACGAGAGGTTAGATCAACATAAGGTGCCATGGCAGGTGTGTGAGAATGATGTGACCTAGAGGTTAGACTAAGATAAGGTGTCACACCAGGTGTCTGAGAATGGTGTGGTCGGGGTGATATGATGATAGACACAAAAAAGAAGAAGGGATTAAGTTAGGTTTGGTTGATCCTGTGAGAATTGTGTGGTAGAGAGGTTAGACAGAAAAGACCAAGATAAGTTTCCATGCCAGTTGTCTGAGTATGGTGTGGACAAGAGGTTAGACCAAGATAAGTTGCCACGCCAGGTGTCTGAGAATGGTGTGGACAAGAGGTTAGACCAAGATAAGGTGCAATGGCAGGTGTCTGAGAATGATGTGGACAAGAGGTTAGACCAAGATAAGGTGCAATGGCAGGTGTCTGAGAATGGTGTGACCGAGAGGTTAGACAAAGATAAGGCACCACGCCAAGTGTGTGAGAATTGTGTGGTTGAGAGGTTACACAGAAAAGACC